CCTGATTGGGGAGCCGCGTAGCGGCGATCCGGGCTGGCTGGATCAGGCAGACGCGCCCTCTAAATCAGGCACTGTAAAGGGCCGCCCGCAGTGGCCTCGGAGGAGTGAACGGCCGCCCGATTACAGAGCCGGGTGCATGTGGCAGAGAGAGGGAGCCATTGCATCTGCGGCCAGGGGCTTCGTTTAGCGGGGGTCGGTGACGGCGCCCTCCCTCAGCCCTGCGCCTGAGGGAGGCTGGGAACAAATTACATTTATTTGAACCACAATTCTTATTGTGAACTAATACATTTGGTATAATTTAAAAAAAATTATTTCACATAAAATTTTAAAAAGTGTATTTTATGTGTAAAAAATGAAATACAATGAAATAAGACAAAAAAAAACCACTACTGTAAAACTTATAAACTGATTTAGAACATAGATAAATCAAACTTGATATAATGAATAAATAGTTTTATATATTTGTAGGACTACAATAATTACATACATGTTTCTGAAGACTGGTGTGCATTAATGATTTATATTTGCATAAAAAGATACAGTAAATAAACATTTTCAAGGAAAAATATTCAATCTATGTGCTAAATCTGAACCTTCAGCACCCTGTACTGTTTATAAAGATTCACCACACATTAATTTCATATCTACTGCTTATACACCCAAAAATTAATTCAACATTAAAGGGAGTGTATAGTTTTTTAATATATGTTATTTGTTATTTATTTTATTCAGGTCCACAAAATTCACAATGTATACAGTCATGGCCGAAAATATTGAAGTAATACACCAGTGGGAGAGTACGTAACCTATTTCTTCTATTAAGTTACAATTACGGTGTATCATGTTAACCAGTTTCCACAACCTCCCTCTCACTCTATAGAGAGTACAATTGTGGAACTGAAAACTGAATCACCATATCCTAAACAATCCGGTGGATACAAACTATTCACATTATATACTGGCCATACTCACCTCCGCAGCTGAGATCCTATAAAAATAAGATAACCTTGTTGCTCTGTTACAGGATGAATCCCAATAAGAGAAACCTCATGAAGATCTGAAAGTGACTAAAACTCCCCCCAGTACTGTGCCGACACTATTCCATTAAAAGAAACCCATACTGAGACGGTATGGAGACTGCCATTGCTAACCTCTACTTCTGAAAATACCAAAATTTGGGGGGCAATGACTGTCTGCATCAACCAATGATGGAGTGCAGCACTCCATCACAGCAAACACTGAATATTGAAACATCCCAAGTGAATGTGTTTTATAAATTAGGCTTAAAGTGATATTAAAGGCAAAAAATGTTTTCCCTCCCCCCATGTAAATGTTAGCACTTACCTTAAATGATGTCTCTTATTCTGGTCTTCCTCTTCTTTCCCCATGTTTTCATCTGTCCCTCCAGCGGTGTGACGTCACTCCGATCCAGCGCTGACTGCTCTGTCTCTCCGATCCAGCGGTGTCTGCAGGCGGGTGCACGCGTCCATAGACTTACCTTGCGTCTCTGCTCGTCTCCCGGCCGAGAATCGGAACTGCGCATGCGCCCGCCCCAAGATCCTTTGCGGCCGTACGAGCAGTTCCTGATTCTTGGCGCGGGAGCAAGCAGCGATAACGAGGTAAGTTTAAAATGATTTTAAGCTGTTTTTTTTTTTTTTTTTACACTTCTTGCCTATATCTACTGCTTGCTAGCGGTAGATATAAGCAAAAAAACCCGGAGGGTTTAGAACCCCTTTAACTCAGACAGGCGATCTGGGATAGTTTGCTGTGTCCAGAGGCGACTCTGGATACAGTTCCATTCTCTACTATGGCTGCATACAAACTGGCTGATTAGCTGCGTCCAGTAACTCCGCAGGAACGCCATCCCTGGATACAAAATGTCTGTATTTAGGGTCAGTCAGAAACTCTGTTTGCATGTAACTGCTCAGATTGATGGTGGCACCGACCATTGCTTTGTACAGAGTAAAAGCCTGACAGCTGCCACTGCTGGCCACAGCTATTCGCACACCTCGCACAATGTACACGCAGGCAGCTTTTAGCTCTGCCAGTCACAATCGCTTAATTCTCTCCTCCTGTCTGAATGGATTATTTCAATAGATGTCTGCAAGCCGAAAAACCAACTTAACACTGTGCCATCTGTAAATATGCTCATAAGTTGGAGGTTCAGTGAGTTTTTCTTTGTTACTTTCGCTCCTAAACTAAATTGGGCACTTAACCCTTGCAGCACAGGGATAGCCCCACTGCTAGGGTTAAGTTTTCTTCTGCCCAGAGTTCCTCTTTAACAATAATGTGTATTACAAAATGTAACAGTGGAAATTAGCCCCTGGGATTTTATTTTGCATTTTTAATTCTGTTCTCCTGTACATGGTAACACAAAAGGCTCAGAGAACACAAGAGACAGACCGAGCAATGATTCCTGGAAAAAGGGACAGCTGTGAACTGGGCATGGGATGCCCTATGACACAGACAGGTCCAGCGCTCCAACCTCCATGCTTCTCCATCCCTCCTCTCCATCCTCCAGCATCTCTCTCTTCTTTCCATCCTCTAGCATCCCTCCTCCCCATCCTACAGCATCTCTCGTCCCTATCCTCCAGCACCCATCCTCTCCATTCTCCAGCATCTCTCTCTTCTCTCCATCCTCTAGCATCCCTTCTCTCCATCCTCTAGCATCTCTCCTCTCCATTCTTCTGCATCCCTCCTCTCCATCCTCCAGCATCTCTCCAGCATCTCTCTCTTCTTTCCATCCTCTAGCATCCCTCCTCTACATCCTCTAGCATCCCTCTTCTCCATCTTCCAGCATCTCTCCTCTCCATCCTCTAGCATCTCTCCTCTCCATCTTCCCTCCTCTCCATCCTCTAGCATCTGTCTCTTTTTTTCCATTATCTAGCATCCCTGCTCCACATCCTCCAGCATCTCTCCTCTCCATCCTCCAGCATCCCTCCTCTCCAGCATCTCTCTCTTCTTTCCATCCTCTGGCATCCCTTCTCTCCATCCTCTAGCATTCCTCTTCTCCATCCTTCAACATCTCTCTTCTCCATTCTCCAGAAACCCTCCACTCTATCCTACAGTATCCCTTCTCTCCATCTTCCAGCATCCCTCCATCCATCCTCCAGCATCTCTCCTCTCCATCCTCCAGCATCCCTCCTCTCTGTCTTCCAGCATCTCTCCTATCCATCCTCTAGCATCCCTCCTCTCCATCCTCCAGCATCTCTCCTATCCATCCTCTAGCATCCCTCCTCTCCATCTTCCAGCATCTCTCCTCTCCATCCTCCAGCATCCCTCCTCTCCATCTTCCAGCATCTCTCTTCTCCATCCTCTAGCATCTTCCAGCATCTTTCCTCTCCGTCCTCCAGCATCCCTCCTTTCCATCTTCCAGCATCCCTCCTCTCTATTTCCCAGCAGCTCTCCTCTCCATCCTCTAGTATCCCTTCACTCCATCTTGCAGCATCTCTCCTATCCATCCTCTGGCATCCCTCCTCTCCATCTTCCGGCATCTCTCCTCTCCATCCTTCAACATCTCCCCTCTCCGTCCTCCAGTATCCCTTTCTCCATCCTCCAGCATCTTTCCTCCAGCATCCCTCCTCTTCATGCTCCAGCATCCCATTGTTTCATGTTCCAGCCTCTCTATTCGCCATAGTCCAGCATCTCTCCTCTCTAGCATCCCTGATTGTCATTCTCTAGCATCCCTGATTCTCATTCCCCAGCATCCCTCCTCTCTAGCATCCCTCATTCCCATCCCCCGGCATCCCTCCTCTCTAGCATCCCTCATTCTCATCCTCCGGCATCCCTCCTCTCTAGCATCCCTCATTCTCATCCTCCGGCATCCCTCCTCTCTAGCATCCCTCATTCTCATCCTCCGGCATCCCTCCTCTCTAGCATCCCTCATTCTCATCCTCCGGCATCCCTCCTCTCTAGCATCCCTCATTCTCATCCTCCTGCATCCCTCCTCTCTAGCATCCCTCATTGTCAGTCTCCAGCATCCCTCTATCATCAACATTATTCTCCATCATTAAGCCTCCCATCTCTCCAACCTCTAGCATCCCTCCTCCAGCATCCTTCCTCTCTGTCCTTCCTCTTCTCCATCCTCAAGCCTCTCTCTTCTCTCTATCCTCACTCCTCTACCTCATCCCATCTCTCCTTCCTCTGGCCTCTCCATCATCTCTCTTCTCCATTACCCTTCTCTCCATCATCCCTCTTCTCCATCCTCCCACCTCTCTATCCTCCAGCCTCTTCATCCTCCCTCCTTTCTATCCTTCATCTCGTCTCCATCCTCCCCTCCTCTCTCGTCTCCATCCTCCAGCGATGCTCTGGGTACCTGCACACCTGTCCATCCCTGGGGTCGCTAGGCGGGCTCGGCCCCGCCCCCGTGCAGCGCTGGCGCAGGCGCAGTTCACCGTACCGCAGGCAGGGGGCGTCAACATGGCGGAGGAGTAAGCGGTGTCTGATCAGCACAACAACGCCAGCCAGCTGCAGCCGCCATCCCGTTACCCGGCGACCGAGCGAGGAGGAGGCCGCTTATCAGCCAGTGCAACCCGGGGCTGTCAGGATGGTGATGGAGGGGGTCAGTGCCAGGATCTGTCATAACAGCCCGGGCAGTGTGGATTAGAAATAGGCTCGGACCCGCAGGTGTCTCTGTCCGCTCTGATCGCTGTGACTCAGCCCGTTATCTGGAGGATTCGTGCAGAAAGCAGCGCCTGTCCGTGCCGGAGGAGGAGGAGGGGGCCGTACGGACGATGATGGCCAGTGACAAGCCGCTGGCGGGTGCCGGCTGCCCGGATAGGGATGCCCCGGGTGGTTCGGGCTCCATGGTGCTGCCCAGCGGGGTGATCAACCCGTCTGTCCCCATCCGCAACATGAGGATGAAATTCGCCGTGCTCATCGGCCTCATCCAGGTCGGGGAAGTCAGTAACCGGGACATAGTGGAGACCGTGCTCAACCTGGTAAGCCGCTGTCTGTGTCATGGGACCGGCTGGGGGGTTCTACCTTGTGTGCCTATAGATCGGGCTCTGCGTTTGCTTATAGATACTGCAGGCAGTGTGTGCCTGTAGATCGGGGTCCCTTCTTTGGGGAGCAGGTTCTTTTTGTGCCTATAGATCGGGGTCTGCGTGTACCTATAGATACCGCAGGCAATGTGTGCCTATAGATCGGGGTCCCTTCCTTGGGGAGGAGGTTCTTCCTTGTGTGCTTATAGATCGGGGTCTGTGTGTGCCTATAGATCGGGGTCCCTTCCTTGGGGAGGAGGTTCTTCCTTGTGTGCTTATAGATTGGGGTCTGCGTGTACCTATAGATACCGCAGGCAGTGTGTGCCTATAGATCGGGGTCCCTTCCTTGGGGAGGAGGTTCTTCCTTGTGTGCCTATAGATCGGGGTCTGCGTGTACCTATAGATCGGGGTCCCTTCCTTGGGGAGGATGTTTTGCCTAGTGTGCCTATAGATACCACAGACAGTGTGGGCCTATAGATCGGAGACTCTCGGGGGTGAGGTGTTCTACCTTGTGTACCTGTAGATCAGGGACCCTCGGGGGCTGGGGCTACATTGTGTGTCTATAGATCAGGTATCTGCGTGTTGCTATAAATCCCACAGGCAGTGTGTGCCTATAGATCGGGGGCTGGGGTGGGGTGTTTTACCTTGTGTGCCTATGGATTGGGGTCCTTCCCAGGGGGGGGGGGGGGGTGAGGGTCTACCTTGTGTGCCTATAGATGAGGTTCCCTCTTATGGGGGTGGTTCTCCCCTGTGTGCCTTTTAGATTGGGCTCTTTCTAGGGGGGCGTTGCTACCTTCTGTGCCTATAGATTAGGATTCCTCCAAGGGGTGCTGTGTGACAATAGAGGGGGTGAGCGTTAGTCTTTGAGCCTGTAGATAAGGGTCTCTCCCAGGGACCAGTGCCTATAGATCGGGGACTCCTGGGGGTGAGGTGTTCTACCTTGTGTACCTGTAGATCAGGGACCCTCGGGGGCTGGGGCTACATTGTGTGCCTATAGATCGGTGTCTGCGTGTTCCTATAAATCCCACAGGCAGTGTGTGCCTATAGATCGGGGGCTGGGGTGGGGTGTTTTACCTTGTGTGCCTATAGATTGGGGTCCTTCCCAGGGGGGGGGGGGGGGGGGGGGGTGAGGGTCTACCTTGTGAGCCTATAGGTGGGGGTCCCTCTTCTGGGGGTTGTTCTCCCCTGTGTGCCTTTTAGATTGGGCTCTTTTAGGGGGCGTTGCCACCTTCTGTGCCTATAGATCAGGATTCTTCCAAGGGGTGCTGTGTGACAATAGAGGGGGTGAGCTTTAGTCTTTGAGCCTGTAGATAAGGGTCCCTCCCAGGGGGCTGTACCTTGAGCACCCATAGATTAGGGTCCCTCCCAGGGGGCAGTACTTTGAGTGCCCCTAGATGCGGATCCCTCCCAGGGGGCTGTACCTTGAGCGCCTGTAGATTGGGGTCCCTCCCAGGGGGCTGTACCTTGAGCGCCAATAGATTGAGGTCCCTCCCAGGGGGCTGTAACTTGAGCTCCTATAGAATAGGGTTCCTCTTAGGGGGCTGTACCTTGAGTGCCTATAGCTTAGGGTTCCTCCTTTTGTGCCTATAAATTAGGATCCCTCCTCAGGAAACTCTACCTTGGGTGCCTATAGATAATTTCTAGGGATGGCATCTGTGCCAATGGGGCTCTACCTTCACTACCTATAGATCAGGGGCCCTCCTATGGAGCTGTACCTTGAGTGCCTATAAATCAGGGTCCTTCCGCCTTTTAGATTAGATTAGCATCTCTCACCAGGGGACTTTACCTTGTGTGCCTATAAATTGTGGTCCTTCCTAGGGATAATATCTGTGCCAGCAGCACTCTGCCTTGAGTGACTACAGACCAGTGTCCCTCCCAGGATCAGGTGGTGGAATCCCAGGGCTGGCATCTGTGCCAGGCTGCTGTACATAGGCCATGTGCTGTGGATGGGGCTGTATTGGTAGATGCCCCATGCCCTCCTACCACCTCTACGCTGAGTGTTCTATGAGAAGTGCTTTGCAGCTTTGTAAACCCATCAGGGGTAACCCTGGCATTCATACAGGCTGCCCTGTATGGCCCTTTCTTTGCTGGGTGCTTGCTTTCTTCATTCCCCATCTGGGGACTTGTACTGTTGGATTTGGATTGCTGATTTGCAGCTCCCGTTGTTAGTAAAAGATTAAAGATAGCACCTTGCGGGCTGCATTGTTCATGAATGGCCTGTGTCCTGTAGATCACGCTGCTCTCCCCCCACCCTTCCAGAAGGTGACAACTGATCAGGGCAATCCTATTGGTATACATAATGCACAATTGCAGCTCCTTTGGTCAGTAAAGGGTTAAAGTTGGCACCTTGTGGGCTGCATTGGCTATGAATGGCCTGTGTTCCATAGATCACGCTAATGAATGGCCTGTGTTCTATAGATCACGCTGACGGCCTGAACCCCCTCCCCCCTCATTCCCTCCAAGCAGGTGACAGCTGATCTGGGGAATCCTGTGCTCTCGCCTTAACATTGCACTGCACAGCAGCACACCACCCGATTTAATCAGGGGTTAAATCCAGCATCCTCAAGGGTGCAGTTGCTGCGAACGGCCCATATGCCGTGGTATTAAATGTCTTGGAAGCTATGTGCAGCTTCTCTCCCCTTCCACGTCTTTAAATATATGTTGTATTCTTGCAAGTTGAAGGAGACCCCGGAGGATCAATGCAGCGCCGTGACTCCGCTCACCTCCCTGGGAGTGGAAGGGTTAATTGCGGCTCGTGTGTCTGATCATGCATCTGATTATCCCTGAAGATTAGGCATCAGGGTGCATGGAAACCTGTGCTTGACATTACTTGTGTCATGCACATATACACAGCCGTGCCTTCCACATCTCGCATATTGCATGACACAGGCTTGGATTCATCCCAACCTTAAATTGTCATTCTAGAAGGGGAACGGTCAGGCCAGGCGCGGTGACGAGGCTGCACGTAGGCCGGTCTCTCCTCTCTTCATCTTATTAAACAGAAAAACATTTTTTACGTGTCCATCCATTTCCTGCCTATATGAACTTTAGAATGGTATGCGTGCATGGCTAGCGGTATATTGCCCAGAAGGCTATGTCGTAGTCACTTCTCATCGGTCTGCAGGCCCATTATTGTATTGCAGTGATTTTGTACCCCTTATAAAGGGGAGGTCTTAGCAAAATGTAAGTATCCTATGTAGCAACGGTAGACAACCTTGGAACTACAAGTCCCATGAGGTATTGCAAGGCCGACCGCATTAGAAGAGCCAGGTCATTATCTGCATGGAGTTTGCTTGTTCTCCCTGTGCTTGTGTGGGTTTCTTCCAGGTACACCGGTTTCCTTCCACACTCCAAAGACATGCTGGAAGGTTAATTGTCTCCTGGCTAAATTGGCCCTGTATGTATGAATGTGTGATAGGGACCTTAGATTGTAAGCTCCTTGGGGGCAGTGAATATAACGCGCTGTGTAAAATTGTTGGCGCCATAGAAATACCAATAAATAATAAGAGGCAAAGTAATGATGGGATTTGTAGTTTCACCACAGCTGGAGTCATGAGGTTGCCTACCCCTGCTATATAGAATAAAATGTATGTATTTGAGTTCTTACTGAGGTTGTGAATGGCGAAGCAAATAAAAAGGATACCAATGCAGGTTTATTCAGCATCAGTGGGTTTAAAGCAAATTGATAAGGGCACATCGTTCCAGTGCTTTTCCCTTCGGAATAGTGTGCATACATGCTTTCCATACATGTGCATGCATGCTTTCCATACATGCTTTCCATACATGTGCATGCGTGCTTTCCATACATGTGCTTTCCATACATGTGCTTTCCATACATGTGCTTTCCATACATGTGCATGCGTGTTTTCAATACATGTGCATTTACTATACACGTGCATACTTACCATACATATATGTGCATATATACTTACCAAACATATATGTGCATACATACATAGTTACCATACATATGTGCATACATACATGTGCATACTTACCATACATGTGCATACATACCTACCATACATATATATGCACACATACTTACCATACATACATGCCACTTTTATATGTTGCCCAGAAGGCCTCGCCGTGGGTCACTTCATCGGTGTGTGGCTCTTTTATTGTGGGGATTTTGCAGAAGTAAAAATGCACAGCATTTCATTAAGTATGCTATATAGCAGGGGTAGGCTGCCTCGGCCCTCCAGCTCTGGTGAAACTACAAATCCCAGCATGCCTGTGCCCCTGGGAGTCATGCCTGTGGCTGTCAATCTTGCAATGCCTCATGGAACTTTTAGTTCCACAACAGCTGTAGTGCTAAGGTTGCCTGTCCCTGCTATGTAAAAGAAAAGCTGATTGTTTGAGGTTGTGGATGGTAAAGCATTAATAGGTAAGGCATGCAGGATTATTATTAGACACCGGTGGATTTAAAGTAAATTGATAAGGACACATAATTGCGCTTTACAATGCTTTATAATGTGTAAATGTTGCACAGGCCTCGTCGTAGGTCACTTTGCATTGGCGTGCAGCCCCTTTATTGTATTGCAGTGGTTTCATAGACCTCTTATGAGGGGGAGTGTTCAGCGTTTTCATTTAGTATGGTATATAGAACATACAGCCTTATATGTCTGAGGTAACGTTGGTATTTACTTGAGGTTACACCGACTGACTGAGGTGTGTTTAAAACGTTCCGATTGCAGTTTTAATAGTAGACAGCGGTGGCGGGTTTAAAGCAAATTGATGAAGGCACTTAATTCCGGTGTTCTCCGCCTGCTGCCACAATCCCAGATACGGTCCCTTTGAGGCACTGTGACCTCGTCTCCCTTCCCCCCCATTGACACCACAGAATTGCTGAATGTAGAGCCTCCTGTGACACGATGCTTCCAATTCATGAGGTGCAGGATAAACCACGTTTTAGGAGCCGGGGCACCAAACGCTGACTCATTTGTTTCCTTTTATTGTGCTGAC